TTGAGAACGTCTAATATTGTGTGCAGAGTGACGTCCATTTTTAGATGCATACAAAATGTTACTTGGTGGTTGGAAAGACGTGCACTCCTCGTCTTTTGCTGCTTGTATGGCATCTTTCAAGCTGCTGAAGCCGCGTGCTGAGATGATGGTGCTCATTTTTGCGCTACGCAGGCCATCTGAAAAACGTTTTATGGCAAAAAGTTTCATTGATTGGTTTTAAAATCGAGAATACTTCCACTTTTCCATCTGCCTGAGTAATTGTCAGCTCTGTAAATAACTTTTCTACCTCCGTACTATAATCCTCAATGGATCTCGAGCCTTGTTGAATATTCTGAAGCTTCGTCTGTATAGCCATAAATGATTTTTTGGGTAAAAGATATTTTCTCATATCATCAATTAATTCTTGGATAGTTTTGTATGAGCTTGCAATTCGTAATTTTGCATTTTCATTCAACCGACTTTTCAAAACAAAAGTAATTAATAATACTTTACCTGGGTTGTCCAGCGTATCAGCATACATCTCCACTGAGTCTATTAGGCGCTTAGTGGTGGCCTCTACACCGTCCATTACTGGAATCAAACTACACGCCACCTTTATGTCAAAATCCATTTTGCCTAAATCTACTGTAACGGGAAAAGTACACAATTTTTCTATTTCCTCGTACTTTTGTTTTATTTTCTGATAAAGATCTATTGCCGATTTCAAATTAATATCTTTACTTTTTTCAATAAGTAAATATGTTTTACAACAGTTTTCATATGCGCTTTTTGCTTGATCTAACTAGTTGAAATAACATTACCCTTATATCTAGTTTGTCCCTTTTTTTACTAAATAATTACGTATTTCTACTAAACAGACATAATTTTGTTCCAAAATATCAATCATAATATTCTTAATCTAATAATAGAATTGCACAAATGTAACACATTCTACATAAATGCGAAGAAAAAAGTTCGACGTTGCCTTTTGTTTCCGTTTGGTGTCTTATTACTGAATGTCCGAGCGCGGTTTTAGCACCTTTAGAATTATAGCGTTATGAAATATGATTCCGCATAACTGGCTCACTCACTGCTATTTATTATTTTTACGAAAAAATTAACAACCCACAACACTTATTTTCACTTTCACTATGCATTCACTTCTAATTACTGATTCTGGTTACCTTCTGTGCGCCCTCTGATGGATGATCTGATTCTCTGCATGGTACTCTCATCCCAATTTCCTGCTGGATCTATGTGCGGTGGCAGCTCCTGTACATCCGCAGGCCCACATAAACTGCTACGAGTCCAATAATGGCCAGAACAATATAGGTCACAATGCTAAGCCGCTCCACGTGGCCTCCGATTTCTTTCAACGTGGCGTCATTGTTGCCTCCAGCCGCGTTTTGGCTGAGGAAAACCTCTTCTTTTTCCACAGTTGACCGACACATTATAATATATTATTAAGTAGTTATGTTAACTATACTAAAACTAACAATCCCCTTGGCAGAATCCCCTGGCAGGGTCGCCATGTAATGTTGGGGTTCCTAATGGGTGTTATTCAAGGAAACGACTACATTAGTTACGTACTATTTAATGAATGCGCTGGTAATAATCTAAAATAATGCATATAAGGTATAGTGCAAACTCAGCATACATACGGTTATATAGTAGCGTACTTATTTACTAAACTAAAGGAGCATACATATTATTCTTACACTTCAATTTATTATAATATTTATTATTCATTGTCACTGTATACGATCGGTTCTATTCCGTCCACTAGATCGTCCTCACTTTCACTCTCTGAGCTGGATTCTTCCCCTCCGAGGGATATAATTAATTCTCTCTGTTGGATTTCTCCAAGTCTATCACTCTCCCAGTATTCATTTTCTAATCTTTCGATATGGTTAATTTTATCTTCCAATCGGAAGCCGTTATAGACTCTATTGCGTCTCTTGTCAAACCCTCTATTTCCCTTTCAAACTGGTTAACATTTTTAGCTGCCACCCTTTGTTTTATTAAGTTCCATATATATTCGATAGGGTTCAAATCACAATGGTAGGGTGGCAGGAGTAATACTTCGTGTCCTTGCTCCCTCATGAGTTCGTCCACTATATATTTTTTCGGTGGTTTATTGAGCAGTATTATATGGTACAGTTCCGGTTTCGTCATTTTTTCATCAAAAGGAATGTTGTTTTTCCGAAGCCAACTCTGCATCTCACCTTTCAGGGACGAGCTCACGGGTGGTTTTTCAGACTGCGTTGAGTGGTAAGTTTGGGATTAGTTTTTCTGTCAACCACTTTTTAAAGTTTTTACTATCCATTTCGTGATGGTAGTCCCCGGCATTACTTTTGCATTTGTAAAGCAATTCGGCACCAGGGATAAAGCCGGTTTCACCGCCAGCGTGCACCAATATCCACCGCTGTCCTGGATTATCATTTTTTCCAATGCTTGCGTCATTGTTATTTTGCCAGCATTTGCGCACGGTATAGTGGGAGTGAATCCATGTTTCGTCTAAATAAGTTACGGGTTTTTTGTCCACCCCAAGTTCATTGTTTTCTTTCTTCCTTCGTAAATAACGGGCTCTCCAGGCAGCAATGTCTGGCTTTTGTATTAAGACTTGTCTTGCGTTCTTACATTTTTTTAATTTGTACCCCAAGTAGTCAACGAGTATTCGTTGTAACGTGGTTTTTTCACCTGTAAAATAAAGATTTTATTTTAAATTTTTAGTTATCGCGTGGTATTTTTTCAAAAAATAATTTAAAATTAAATATCTCAGAAATGGTTCACTTTTGCATATGGGTGTCCATACATAAAATTGTTGCAAATTACCAGTTCTAGCACCCCTAACAAGATTATGCTTGAATTAAATGTCACCTTGTATATGATATGACCTAAAGTATGATATATAATACATATAAAAAATGTCAATAAATATGGGTACGTACCTGGAAAATTTAGATCTGCTTTTGCAGCCGTTAAAATCTTTTTCAATGTTGGAATTTCTTTCCGTACTGTATAGAAACTGTTGACAAGGTTTCTTAGAGCACACAGATCAAAATTTTCGAGTTCAATTTTTTTTGAGCTCTGTTTCCTTTTTTTTTCCTGGAGTTGATAATTTAAGTTCTGGTCTTGCTTGAGAAGTACATGGTTCCGATACTACTGTGACATCATCATTTTGGTCTTGAGAAATTGATTCAACTTTTTTCGCCTCGTTTTTCATTCTTAGTAGTGTTGCCTTTGATATGCCTGTTGCTGCACAAGCCCTCTTTAAATCTTGGTCCACAGGAATAAGAAACTTTTTATTTGATTTTTCATCTTCGAAAAATTTTAAAACTTTTAGGGCAAGTGTCCGTGCTTGGCTATGTATTGTCTTTCCTCCCATCTTTTTTTAAAAATAAAAAAGGCGGAGTAACTCCTAAGCGTCACAAGAAAACGGCACAACACAACGTCCAAACTTAACAATAAAACAACGCAATTAACAACAAACAGATAAAATAACGTTCAAGTATAACAAAAACAAACAAAAGTCCAAACCAAACAACAAACAATTATCAAAAATATCGAACTAGAGTCGAGACGCGTATCCGTAACAAAAATGCTATCGGTACTGAGCGCGCACGGCCAGCGCGGGACGCGGTGCGGGGCGTCGGGAAGGGGGTCGCATTCCAGCGGAGTCTCAAGTTAATTCGTACGTGTTGTAAATCGACATTATCAAAAGTTACCGTTGCTCCGTGACGGATGTATAAATTTTCGTATTGTTTTCATATATTTACGCGAACACTACATATTGAATAAAGCAAGTTTTACGGGTTTATCGCGCTCAATTTTACTTATTTTTAATTTAAGTATCTGGTGTTTTGCAACATCGGGAATTAAAAGCAAGTGAAATGAACCCAAGTTTATTTCGATGTATAATTTTCATTCTCAATAAGCTTTAGGGGCAAGCTGCTTGCATAATTTTCGTTATTTCTTACAACTAAATATGAGTTGATATCTATTCCTGGCTGTATTACTAATCATTAATAAACATTGTTTTTGTCTTTATAAACATTGTTTTGATTCACGTTATATTACTGTAAAAACAATGAACAAACAAACACACTTCCAGCATGTAGAATATACAGGAGTATTTTTTATGTTATGTCAGAAGTAAATGACTATCTTAACTAACTTACTCTGATAACTTGCCCTGTTACAGGCAGGCAAGGCCTGTATTTGGAAATATTGAAGATACTTGGAGATTACTAGCTATCTGACTTTCACCATTATAATAATAATAATTACATTCCGCTATAAATATTACATTCCCTTAATTTTACCAAGATAATGATTAACAATCAACCGTGATATAACATTTCTATCTCAGTCACCTCTTACACTACCTACTTGATAAAATAAGATAATAGATCTTTATCAATTTACAAACACGTGGCAAATGTGGTATTAAAATAAAATATTTATAATTCTTTCTTTACAAATTCTTATAGATTTTCGTACGCCGCAAATATACGGCAAACGTAGTACTTAAATTCAATATTAACTTCCAGTAGGTGGTTAACGCTCGCTGTAAATATAACAGAACGCTAGTAACCCGGGTTGGTTTGATCCCCGCCGGCACCAATGAAATTGTTAATTGCAATTTAAGTGCTGATTTACCACATGCTCGGCGGTGAAGGAAAACATCGTGAGGGAACCTGCATGTCTGAGGAATAAGAAAAAAAATATTTCGAAGACATGTGAAGTTCGCCAACACGCGTTGGGCCAGCGCGGCGGACACTTCCTTGCCCTAAAACCCCCTCAGAAATTAGGGAAGGCCTGTGCCCAGCAGTGGGACGTATATAGGCTGTAACTTAAACTTTTTAACTTTTCCAGTAGGTAAACAAAAAGTACTTTGTAAACTTGACCAATTCCATCTGTGCAGATTGGTGTAAATAGATTATATCACAGTGCAAGAAAGCCGCAAACGTGCTATGAAATTAAATACACTTTTTTTTCTTAACAGACAGATACGAAATATGATGGCTGGTGAGCCTTCTTTCAACTTGATGTATATAGCTCCATGAAGCACCCTACCTTCCTCACTGATCGGACTCATTGCAGCCTTCCTTCTTTACTATTGGCAGCAGGTCGATTTCAAGCCCGAAGAGAGTTTGGTAAGAATCCAACATTATTGAATAAATTATTTTTTTTGTAATACAGGTATTCAGACTTTGATATCTCCGGCGCCAAAATTACGATAACAAACAATAAAATAAAAAAACAACAAAATAAAGATAATAGTTTTTTATAGAAGAGGGGGCAAGCGGGCATGCGGCTAACCTGATGGTAAGTGACTACCGCCGCCCATTAACAACTACAACACCAATTGTAGATGCGTTGCTGGCCTTTTAGAAAGGCGTAAGCTCTTTTGTTGATGCTCCCAGGGATGAGAAAAGTATTCCATTTGAGGCCGAACTTGCACCGTGTAAATTTACAAGTGGTGTGCTGGCATGAAATACTGTTCATCATGCAAAAATTTTTAGAGGCTAATTTGGCCTTCTGTTCCAAGTGAGCACGAAATTGTACACCATTTGATATGTCCACGCCGAGAATTCCGATACTAAGACAATTGCGGAGTAACCTAAAATTGAAGAGATACAACAAAGGACTTCTTTTTGGCGTTGCCAAGCCTTGGAGAATACCAGAATTAATAGGCTCGTAAACGGAGAATGCACCGTGTACTATTTACCTTGTTGCTCCAATCAGTAAGAAATTGGTGATCCAATAGTTATTTCTCGGGAAGCCTATTATAGAATAGAAAGGAAGCTTTGAAAAATGCGCTTTATGTCAAACCCGATTGAACGCATTTGCTACGTCTAAATTAACGGTCAATGTCTCCCCCTTGGCTCTTGACTCTATTGCCTCCACCCATCTGTGAGTTAGGTAGACTAAAATAATTACATACGAAAACCGTATTGAAGATCACTAATCAGGGGGTGATTCTCAAAGGACCTCATGACCTGGCAGTTTATAATGGATTCCTTTATTTTGGAGAACAAGGAGGTGATCACCATGGGCTTGTAGTTGGACGGATCTGAAAAGTCGCCTTTTTTAGGGATCGGGTGCTGATCAAAGTTATCTTCCATGAATTCAGGACTACACCTTGGAAGTAGGAGTACTGAAAAAGTCGCGTTAATTGGTGCCAACTTTAGAGCACACGTCTTTGGGAGGCACTTTCTAACGAGAAGGACTCCATCGGGCCCACTTGAATTTTGAACCGAGCGCTGTGTAAAGCGGCTAAAATAATCCGGCATGGAGCACTCACATCGCGGGATGGTCGACCGTGTGTTCCCCCGTCATCTAGAGTCGAGTTCGACGCAAAGAAAGAGCCTAAAAGATCGGCTTTCTCCTTTGTGGCATGGGCCAGTGAGTCATCCTCTCTGTTCAGAGATGAAAGAGATGGTTGACAGAAGTTCCCTTGGAGAGCCTTGGCAAGAGACCAGAATAATCCGTGCATTCTGGACTCTTGCGCCGAAGAAGGGCGAATTAGCTTCTCGCCAATTCTGCCAATGTTCCCTGACTTTGCCTCAGCAATGATTCTTTTGAAGAACCTGGAGACGGAATTAAACTTTATTTTAAAGCGCTGGTGTTATCATCCCAAAACATTGACGCGTCTGCACAGGCTGAAGTACCACAACAGCGAAAGAATCAGCAACAACGCTGGGATCATCCGAGAAGAAGCAAACCCGTCCCCAATGGTAGGATCCAAAAAAAGACCGCATCCTAACCCAATCAGCCGACCTATGGTGTCAAACACGGCGGCAGCCTGCAGAACGAAACCGCGATGTTTACATGAGTGGCACCGCACTTCGAACTAGACAATGGTTCGAGGATCCAAGAGGGGCATCGGGATATCCGTCCGGATGAGAAGTCAACAGACAGTCCAACAGGAAAGATGTGTGATCCTCCACATTTGAAATTCGCGTAGGCGGAGTACCAGTTGTGTCAGACCATATGCCAAGGCAAGGTCATGAACAAATCTCCCCTCATGGTTGCTTAAGCGTGAACCAAGTCATTCAACATGCTGGGCGTCAAAATCGCGAAGGAACTATTCTATAGAATAGAAATAAAAATCTCACAGTGCACTTAATTTTCAATTACTTACATCAGATAACCTAATACCAAAGGAAGTTAGTGAAATTATTGCTATGCCGATATACACCTAATTAGTATATTTACTAAAGAGTTTCTCTTTTAGTCAGTTTTGTTAGTGATTTTGCTAAACGTGGCAATTACGGTAAATCATCCTGATAATAACTGGATATTTTAAGTTTCTGATCCTGCAAGAATTATGTGGGTTCGGATATCTAGATTCGGTTCGTGTATCTAGGTTCGGATTCCGGCGAACGACATCTAAAATACGCTTCTTTGAGTGAACAGCCGCTTGACTTCCATCTCCTGCCGCTACAGGAGCAATGGGCCGATTTTTCAACACTCGCTGAAATGCTGCTGTTATCAGACGAAAGTCAGCTGGATGTAAAGCGGTCGGGAATTTCTCTCGGTAAATTCGTAACGTACGCGAAGCATTTTCGAGATGATCATATGGGAGAGATGGCGCTACTAGCTACGTAAACAAGTGCTCCACACATTAAAATAATTATAAATAGTTTTATTTCGTAATAACTCGTAGTTTATAGTGAAATAGGAAGCTGAAGTGCCGATTCGGGTGTACAAGTGTTGTCTAAGCTAAATATCAAGAAGAAGTGACTTTAAAACGTTTCATTAACTCAGCACGTAAAGTCATAAACAAAACTAAATATAACTTAAAATTTGAGTGATCAATATCAAATAGTGAATATAAGTCTTTAAAATAGTGAATATAAGCATCAGAACTAAGCAATGTATGAATTATTGCTAGAATAGTGACGTTTTGTGAAAATAATCGTGAATGTTAAATTGTCAACAAAATTCAAATTGAAGTTAATTAACGGTCATTAAAGAAAACGTAGGATCTATTTCTTAATTTCAACAAGTCACATAATAACACCGTGGCGTAGAGGCATCGCTTGTTTACTACAAATTATCGCAGACGGGTAACCTCAAGTTCAAACACGATACGTTAACGATAGGGGGCGTTACTATCTTACGATTGCCGAATCTTCGAATATTATATCAATAATACGTTATCAAGGAATTAGAATGGCAGATGAAAATGTTACAATACGTCGTCAATAAACATTGTTGAACGAATCATTTGATCTCTCATTTGAATCTACAAATTCAGAAATAAGAAGACATAGTTCACTGGACCTGTCTACTGGATATGATAGTGACAAAGAAGACCTTAAGAAAGAATTATTACTACTTAGAAACGAAGTCGAAAGCGCACATTTAGAAATAGTAAAACTAAGCGAAGAGAACTTGTCGTTAAAAGGCGCTCTAAATAAACAAAAATTACAAATATATCATAGAATTTGTCCAGAACCCAGGACGAGGATGTCAAGAAACTTGAGGCTGACATTAGATGACGAAGACAACACGAGTTTGATTGATCTTGGGTAGAATACGTTAACCAGCGACCCACCAATAGATGGCGCCACCAGTCCGTTAAAGGATACTCTACGGGAGAATGAAAATTGTGGCACATCTTCATATATAAAGCCCAAAGTGGTAAACAACATACTATAACCAAAGGTAACCACATACTCCCCATTTAATCCCGGTCAGATAGCAGTTAATCGTCCAAGTCAAAGCTTTGTATTATTAGTAGTAACACAGTAAATAATATTCTCACCTTGGCGCTAAATACGTTTCCTAATTATGATGTATGCCATTATATTTCGACAAACTGTGGAATTAAACAGCTACTCGATAATATTAACACCAAGCTTGTCAACTTCAATAAACAGGACTACGGTTTGATTTTTATAGAACATGACTTTGAGACAACTGCAAATTATTATGATCTAGTTATAAGTATACGCGAAACATTAATGTCAATTAGCTACACTAACCTAGTACTGTGTTTGCCTACCTATAAATTCAATGGTTATAACTAAAGAGTTAAGACTATTAATACCTTATTATACCAAGATATATGTAAATATAATTATGCAATATTATTTGATTCCAATTCAAATCTAAAATACGTCAACACAATGTTTTATAAGCATAGTGGAGTATTAAATAGACATGGCATGAAAAACATCTTTAATATTTTAAAGCACTATATTTTCCAAGACTCCAAAAGTCTCTCCACAACGATCTTGCCATCGAAACTTAAATCTCGTAAAGGCACAGTACCCTTTTATTTCGCAGTAATCACAAATAATAATCATTCTGTAAATATTTCTTCGGTATTAACTAATAAGGACAAGGAGCAATTTTTTCGTAAGTAAGCGCAAAAATAACTCATTGTGCAGTATTATGCACCAAATATCGCAGGTGCACTAAGTCAAATGGACGATCTAGAATTAGCCCTCAATGAACTACATGAATCAAATAAACGTGTTATTGCCGTATGTCTCACTAAACATTTTATAATTAAAGGTGAGGAGCAATTTTTAGCACTAAGTGACTTTCATGTGTCAACCATTTTTTCTAGGCAATTGCAAGGAGAGAAATATATGTTCTTGTATTTTATTACGAAATTACTTCAAAGGCGTGCAATTGCATGAGATTAATGAACTATGTATTGAAAAACATTTTGAAATTTGTGGTCTAGAAATTCCACAAATAAAACTAATTATTATATGTATTTATAGAACTCCTAATTCCAATATAAATGTATTTTTCACAAAATCAATGAAGCGCTATCCAAACTACGCCACAAACACAAACAACGTAAATTAATTGTTTGCGGCGATTTTAATATTGATATACTGGTTCACAATAGCGTAAGTACTCAGTTCCTTGAACTTATATCCAATTTCGGACTCCAGTGTCATATTCAGGAACCAACACGAATTGATAAATGTATCGACAACATCCTTTGTAATACAAACAATTAGAAAAATATCTAAACATTACTTCACAACTACACGTGACTACAGCAAAAATAACCTAAGTAAATTTGTAGAGTGCATTAGCTGTATAACTTTTTCTGAAATATTTAATAGATTAAACAATACAAATGAGGCTTTTAATGAATTTCACAAAGAATTAACATTATTCT